TTCCCTGGGGCCAAGCTTTTATTTCGTTATTCTGAATGCTGTAAACCCATTAGGCTCTCTCCTTTTCTCTCAGTGTCCACAACTCCCTTTCACGGTGGGAGTGTTAAGCAGTGATTGTAATTTGATTGAAAAACCTTTACTTGACAAATTAAATGAATCACTGTGAGTATCATCATATACAAGGCAGTGCGGAGAATACCCATCAGAGTCCCAGGGGTTCATCTCAACCTCCTCTATGTTGCAGTTGTCATCGCATATTTCCTTCTGTTTTTCTCCACACATCTCTATTGTTGAACTCCTAATATCGTCATCATGGTATTTTGCAGCATATTCTGGATGGTTGAAGTAGTATACAGCCTTCATATCCATGAGGAAGTTGTACAGTTTCCGGCCACGTACAGGAATTGAAAACATCTTATCTTCTTCTTGTGGCTCAGTTTTGGGGTCGACTGCCCTAGGTTTCTTCCTGGTCACAAGTGGTACTTTTTCCTGTTGCAAGACTGAGGCTTTCCGTTTACCACCTTTGTACAATATAGCTTGCTCGTCAGTTTTCAAATCTTGAGTAGGACAAGCACACACTTTTACATCGATGACCTTCCTTCCACATTCTTTTCCAGAGCTGTTCTCAAGGGTGAGAATGATGGCAATGGGTCTTTGATTAATACCTACACAGGACCCCAGACACATAAATCGCAGAAGAATGGGAGTGTAGTCGGAGCCATCCTGCCAGGGACCAACTGGTACTACAACTAACAAGCGTCCCGAGGCACTCTTAATATAACGAGCCTCAGGGAGGTCAGGTCCCTCTCAAATCCAGCCGCTCTCACTAGTGGAAGTTGTCGAAGTTGATTGCAGGTCTGTACCAAGATACCCTTGTGTTGCAGTGTCTGACAGATTGAACATTAAAATGGTATAAAATACCGACAGGTTGTTAGGTAAGACACATATGCAACAGTTAGGTATCTTTATTATGAAACGTTTCGCCTACACAGTAGGCTTCTTCAGTCGAGTACAGAAAAGTTGATAGAAGCAGAAGATACTTGAAGACGATGTAATCAGTCCATCACCCTTAAAGTTTTGAGGTGGGCGTCCCTCAGTCTGGAAAAGAGCATTGTTCCATAGTATGAAACAATATGGAGATGAAGTGACAGGAGGGGAGCTTATATGCGCCAAGAGGTGAGACGTAGGCCACTGGGAGAGGTAAGAACTCAGATGTTGAGAGGTCAGGTCCCTCTCAAATCCAGCCGCTCTCACTAGTGGAATTGTCGTTACCGTCAAATTACCGCCCCAATAAGCCGACTCAATTGTAGGAAAAATTACTAGAGTAAAATTATAGCTGAGATTATAAGAAGCCATCTCGATAAGCAGGCTTGATTAATGAACTCAGCATGGATTCACAAGGGGGCCGGTCTTGTCTAACTGTTTTCAGGAGGATTCTTGCTAAGACTTCGGAGATGGTGAAGCTGCCGTTGTTTTGTTTAATTGTATTCGAAACAGCGATCAGTGCTGATTCAGCACTGATTGTATTCGAAACAGGGGATCAGTGCTGATTCAGCACTGATCGCTGTTTCGAATACAATTAAAAAAAAAAACGGCAGCTTCACCATCTCCGAAGTCTTAGCAAGAATCCTCCTGAAAACATTTAAACCTGCCATCACATAGTCTCTCCTGTTTTTACTACAAAAAAGCACAGAGTGAACACTGAAAAAAGCTGCCTCACCCCAGTTTATATTTGTCCAACTATTTTTATGTTACCCAAGTAATAGCTTTTATATCCTTTTACTCATGTACGAAATTATTTGCTCTACCCATATTGTTTACTTTTGTCACTACCACTACTACTACTACTACTACTACCACTAGTGAACTTTCGAAATGGTACCTCACTAGTATTCACCTCACTCTGAGCCTTTATATACCCCCTGTGTCCATGTATTGTTTGTAATGGCTTGATAAAGCTCCTGGAGAGCGAAACGTTGCCACAATAAATGTCACATTAGTTTTCACTTGTGTCCTTTTTTAATTTACAACACCCGTATACCACAACTCCATCACACTAGCCTTACGCAGACGACATTACACAAATTTTCACTCATGCCAATATAGATACACTCACACACAAAACACAAAATGAGGGCGACAGGATAGCCCTCTGGGAACAAAAATGGAGGATCAAAACCAATGCAGCTAATCCCGCATTACATATTTTAACTACAGGAAAACGTGATCCCTTTCCCTTACCTGTCGAACTCAGAACAGCTGACACCCCCATTACTTCCCTATCACACAATCTGTCACTGTCCTTGGCGTTAATCTTGACTACCCTTTTTCGTTTACCGGACACATTCACTCAAGGCATGCAAAAGCTACTAAGGCCCTTGCGGGCCTCTACAAGCTGAAACATGCCCCTCAAACGCACCAAACACACCTCTACAAATCCCTAATACGTCCACTGATAAAATTACTCTCCTCTAGCCCTCTCTCTTGCAGCAAAAACAAACAAGGCGCTGCGCTGGGTGCTTGATGTTAGATGGGAGGAGTTCGCCACAAGCGAGTCTCTCCATGCCAGTTAGACATCCCTGCGCTGAATCTGTACTGGAAGAGGCTCAGTGACAGACAGATAGACAAACTTGAGACACGACATGATACTGGACCTCTCTCCTTCACGAAGACATTCGCAGACCCACAAACCAACACAACCTTTTCTACTCCTTGCATGATCCTGTTCCTAACCCCACTTACAAATAACCTTGGATCCGCTGACAGGTACTTCTAAGAAGGTACCATTCTTGACCAGTTTGCCTTGCCATTTTGGGTTAAGACATGGGCCAGTTTACACTCCTCTCTAGCCCTAAAGTCGCATGTCCTTCTCCGCTCACCCACTGGAGTCCTAAAAAGAAGAGCTGAATTTTTCTTCTCAATATTCTGTTTCCACGAAAGCCTTCGCTGCTGGGTTTTAAAACCTGGCTCAATTTTTACGACTAAGAAACAATCCTCTCCAGCGCTATTTTCGTTGTCCGTCTTCCTGATCCTTCCCATTTGGGATCTTACCTGAACTTTCGTTCGTTCGTTCGTACTTCATCTCCATATTGTTTCATACTATGAACAATGCTCTTCTCCAGACTGAGGACTGACCACTCACGCCTCAAAACTTTAAGGTGATGGACTGATTACATCGTCCTTTCAAGTATCTTCTGCTTCAATCAACTTTTCTGTAACACGACTGAAGAAGCCTACTGTGTATGAGGCGAAACGTTTCGGAATAAAGTTGTTGTGCTAACTGTTGCATATGTGTCTTACCTAACAACATTCGGTATTGTGTATACCATTTTGATGTTCATCTTGTCCACACTGCAACACCGTTGGCATCTTAGTACGAGAAAACACCTTGACAACTTTTTCAAGTGAGGAAGTGTTGGATCTGAGAGGGACATGACCTCCAGGGGCCTCTCACATACTACTACTACTACTACTACTACTACTACTACTACACCCTGCACCTCTCCTTCCGACAGTATTTAAGTCTCCGCACTGTCGGCTTGATCTTCAATAGTTTCCTGTCTATGGAACTGAACTTCTCCAGGCCGAGGGCTGACAAACCTCAATTCCTACGACTTGAAGGTGATGGACTGATTTACATCGTCTTCAACATCTCTACTGTTCTGCCTACTTTCTGTATTCGACTGAAGAAAGCCTACTGTGTAGCGAAACGTTTCGGAATAAAGTTGTCTAACTGTTGCATAGTGTCTTACTAACAACCTGTCGGTATTGTATACCAATTTTGATGTTCAAACTTCACTAGTGAGAGCGGCTGGATTGAGAGGGACCCTGACCTCTCAACATCTGAGTTCTTACCTCCTCCTAGTGGGCCTATACGTCTCACCTCTTGGCGCTATATAAGCTTCCATCCTGTCACTTTCATCTCCATATTGTTTCAAACTATGGAACAATGCTCTTCTCCAGACTGAGGGAGACTGACCACCTCAAACATTAAGGGTGATGGACTGATTACATCGCTTCAAGTATCTTTCTGCTTCTATCACTTTTTCTGTACCGAACTGAAGAAGCACTGTGTAGGCGAAACGTTTCATAATAAAGGATACCTAAGCTGTTTGCATATGTGGCCTTTACCTACAACAGGTTGGATAATCAGCAGGTTACTTTCCAGGTAGTCATCTTAATGCGTGGTTTTGGGGAGTCAGATGCGAGTTACCAGGCACCGCCCAGCTGTTTTGTGAACAGTCCATCTCATCGTTTGAAAAGGAATATGCTAATATACTCAATAACGAACTGGTAATTGGTAATTTAAAATAGGAAGCCCAGGTGCCCTATTAGACGAGAGCCTCTAAAAAGAAAGGGAGGATAAGCATAGGGAACTTCAGGAGGATTTAATGTTAGGGAACTTCAGGGGGATTTATGCTAGGGAACTTCAGGAGGATTTAAACAAACTCTACTCTTGGTCAGAAAAGTGGCAGATGCAGTTCAATGTAGATAAATGCAAGGTTCTGAAGCTCGGGAGGTCCATAACCTAGCCTTATAAGTTAAATAATGTAGAACTTACCCATACAGATTGCGAAAAGGATTTGGGGGGTTATGGTAAGCAGCAACCTTAAACCAAGACAGCAATGCCTAAGCGTACGTAATGGGCAAATAGATTACTGGGATTTATATCAAGAAGTGTAAGCAACAGAATTTCCAGAGGTCATACTGCAGCTTTATACATCATTAGTAAGGCCTCACCTAGATTATGCAGCTCAATTCTGGTCTCCTTATTACAGAATGGACATAAATTTTCGTTAGAAAACATTCAGCGTTAGGATGACTAAATTAATACATAGCATTTAGAAATCTTCCTTTATGAAGAAAATTGAAGACTCTTAAGTTACATTCACTTGTTAGACGAAGAATGAAAGGGGGGACCGATCGAAGTGATAAATGGAAGATAGAACATAAGAACATAAGAATGTAAGGAACACTGCAGAAGGCCCACTGGGCCCCTACGAGGCAGGTCCTTATCAAAACGACATTACCTAAAGCTACTCAAGAAACAACTCCCGCACCCCCCAACACCAATCAAACCCAGCCCCTCCCACTCATATATTTTTTCCAGTCTCTTCTTAAAGCTACCCAAGGTCCTAGCCTCTATCACCCCACTGGGAAGACGTTCCACCATCCCACAACTCTGTTAGAAAACCCAGTACTTTACCTATGTCCTTTCTAAATCTAAATTTATCCAACTTAAATCCATTATTCCTGGTTCTTACCTGGTTCGACACCCTCATACTTTATTAATGTCTCCCTTGTTTATGCCCGTCATCCCAACTTATACACTCAAATGATATCTCCCCTTCATTCTCCGCCTCTCCTCCAAGAGTGGAGATTTAAGGCTTTAGTCTAATCTTGTAATAAAGTTGGTAAGAAGTACCGACAATAATGTAAAGTAAAAGAACACAAGTGCAACTAATGTGACATTTATTGTGGCAACGTTTCGCTCTCCAGGAGCTTTATCAGTCATACGGGAGGTTTCCTTAAACTCAGTAAATCATTTAGTCATTCTTCTCTGTATGTTTCTCTAATGAGTCTATGTCCATTACCTGTAGTAAGGGGGGACCAAAACTGAGCAGCATAATCTAAATAGGCCTCACTAGTGATGTATAGAGCTGTAAAAAACTTTTGGACTTCTGTTACTTATACTTCTTGAGATAAATCCAATAATCTGTTGGCCTTGTTGGCACACTGATGCACTGCTGTCTTGGCTTTTTAGATTTCTGCTTACCATTTTGACTCCCAAGTCTTTTTCACATCT